CATGGTGCTTAGTTGCTGGCTGGGGTTAAACCACGACAGCAGGTCACTTTCTAAGCTATTGGAGTCTGTGACACTCAGAAGTGCTTCTGGAGTTGCCATTCCTCGGAAGACCTGCACTATATGTAGGACCATCAAAGAGGTTTTCTGAAGAACAACATCCTTTGTAGACATGCTCTGGGATGTTAATTATCCTCTGAACAAATAGTCAAGCTATCCCATGACTGCCAAAGGGCAGATCTTAACAGCAAATTAAAAGAGGTTAACTGAAATAGCAAAAATTACAGATGTTTGCAATTAAGTAAGATGTTATATGAAGAGCATCCAGATTTTTTTTTTTTCACATCATAAATGGCGTTCCTGCTCTAATATCACACACTAACTCCTGTTTCCCTTTTTCCTGTCAGTATTCTACTTGTTAGAAAAGTACAATCCAAAACTAAGCGGTAAGGTAAGGTAAGGTAAGGTAACTTTGGAGGGTGAGGGAGATAACAAGGACAGCTAGGTGTACCTAGGTCTGTATTCATGATCAGACCAATAAGCCACAGAGTCAGCTGCCTTTTTAAAGCTTTATAGAGCACTACTGCCATTGCAGCAAGTTGGCTATATGTACCTACATTTTCACAAGCAGCAATTGATTGTTACAGTTTCTAGATAATAAGTAAGGAGGAGACTATTCCTACATTGGTGTGTGGACAAGAATCCACCCCTCCTATTATCTTCTGTAATGGTGCTGCCCTCCTGCAGTAACCTTTTGCTTTTGTTCATCCACATTCTGTACAAGCCCAGAGTAGGCCCAGTCAAGAAAAATTCTCTTATGTTCCAATCTTCCCAGTCAAGTCAACTGGAAATTTGGATCTGCACAGAATGATGGGCCAAATCTCCAAACTTCTACTTGCACTCATTTTATAATGTGCACTTGTCACGTATTTAACATTCAATCTAACCTTGTCCACTCACGTAGGTACAGCTGTGCCACCTTTACTACTCAAGGTGCAAACCTTCTGTACGATGTCTGTATCATCCAAGCAATGCTTTCTACACCTTAGTTTGATTTCTCAAATGGTTAACAGGACATTAAGAAGAATAAACAACCAAAATGCCATAAACCATACGTGATGGGTCCAGGCATTCCCTTCAGAGAGAACAGGGCTAAACAAAACACCAAGAAATTACCTAGTTCATGGTTATTTTGTAAGGACCACACACAAATGCAGGACAGGGCTAGGAAGACATTCCCCTTTTGTCTTTTGGTTTCAGGTTAAAAAATAAGCAGACAGTGCATCTATTATCTACCCACCTAAATGTGGAAACAGATCACTGTCCAGCTGCTGTTTTCGAGTGCACAGTTTCACCAGTCTCTGTAGCCGGCTCATGCAGGACGAGTGCGGAGAAAAGGCTGTGGCTTTCATGAGGACCCGATCAGTCCTTGGAGGGTCCGTGACAGGAGCCCTAGCGGGTGGCAGGAGAGGCAGAGGTCTCTTGTTAGACAACTGCCGGGCTTGTGCTATAGTGTGTGTGGTGGGTGCCACTCCCTGCATTGGTAGGCTGGTGTTCGGAGGTTGAGGTGACTTGCAGACTACGCCCTGCGGTAGCCCTGTCGGCTTTAACGAAGCTGATGAAGGTGGCAGATGGGAGTGCTGCTGCTGCAGAGGCTGCTGCTGCAAAGGTGCAGGAAGGGGGCTAAAGTGCTCTTGGCGAACTTTTAAAATCTCTGTCTCTCTCTGGCGCTGCCGGTTTTGAGCCAACTTGCTCTGCAACTTTTTCCTCACTGTTGCCCCTTTTTTTAGGTCATCATCCTCCTCATTGAAAGCAAAGGGGTCTTCTAATTCTGCCTCCAGGTAGTGGAGAGGAAGCCTAGCCCCTGGAGGGGAGAGGGACATCCCATCCAGTCCATTGGGCATCTTCAAGGCCAGGGTGGGCACTGTCAGACTGAAGGCCATAGCATCCATCTGATGCCTGACCTTTACCTCCTCTATGGGATCATTCTTTTTCTTCCTCTCCTTTTTCGGTATAAAGCCAAGTACCTGCAGGTGGCTGTTGCAGTACCTTTGAAAAGTAAAAGCAGTCAGTTATTAACTCGAGTCTTATAAGTAAAATCTGAAGAAAACAGACATCGCTAAAAGGAAATCCACACACACACATCTCATGCAAATTTAGATCGAAACACAAGAGCCTTTATAAGTAGTGCACACAACTGCTTCTAATACAACAGATAACTGTGGTGTTCCCAACCTGTATCAGAAAACAAAAACTTATACAAGCAACAATTTGTAATCTTAAGATATAAAAGTCCTCAGTCATTATTCATAGGAGATTCACACACAACCATTCAAAATATTTGTTCTCTAATAGGGCAAATACTCACAAAACAAAACAAACAAAACCAATGGACTGCCTGATACATAAACTGGTAAGAACGCAAGTCATTAACTCTGACCATTTCAAAAGCTCCCAAGAAAAAGTACATTGAAGACTACTTCCTTTCATTCGGCCATTCTTTGACTGGAAGTAATTAATGTTTTCATCAACACACACATTATTGTTATGAATTCCACTGTAGTAGGGAGCAGTTTCTTACACGGACAATCTCACTAGAGATACCTGCTCAGAAGGGTCACTATTTGCACTTAATGAACAAGTAGAATAAATATTTAAGTTGTTTTAGTAGTTTAACATGATGAATTTTGTAGCCAGAGGATTAGCTGCATGTTCTTCAAACAAAAATGTAGTTTAAAAGAAATTCTCTGCTGCTAGAAAATATTTACACAATGCCAGGAATATGTATACATACAATCCACAAACATGGACTTTAAGCTCTTCTAATATAAAAAAGCTTTTAAAGTCATGTGATTAAAAAGAAAAAAAAAAGGAAAAAAGTCTTTGAAAGTTTGCCATGAAAAGTAAAAGGAGAAGAGTTACAATTTATTGCCACAGATAACATACTAAGTAGTAAACAATTAATTTTTGTCTGATTAAAACAAGCAGGTGATAGAAACGTAGGAACCACGATCTGATCCTTTTCCTGTTTCACACAGGCAGGCAGGCCCTCCTGCTTCTGTAGAATGCCACCAGCAATCAGACTTGTGCCCTTCCAGGATCCCATCTATAACCTGCACCTTATAGATGAAAACAAAAATATGAGGAAAAAGCGGTATCTACATCAAGGTGCTAATGAACAAGCTAAGGGCATACCCATGAAGGTATTCACTGATATGAATAAGGACAAGATAAGGAAATATACCATGAAGGTATGAAATCTGATCAGTATGAATCTGAGAAAAGTAAGTTTTGTTGAACAAATAGGTTGGTTTGTTTATTGTTCCTGGTCTCCATGGAGAAAAAAAATAACAGAAAAGCCCAAACCAAACCCCCAAAAAAGTTTAACACTTCAGTTCAGTGACTTTCAACTTGCTGTTCCACCCCTAAAGAAGCAATGTGTGAACTGCTTCTAAAGGGTCCATAGAAGGTAAAAAAGAAAAAGCAAATTCATATATGCTCCTTAATGATCTCCATACATGTAGTTTCTCAAGGGATCCACACCCATAAGGATTCACAAATCAGAAAAGGATGAAAAGTACTGCTACTTATTATTGTCTAAATAATTTCTTTATTACATTAAGTTCTAAGTAATAAAGAAATCTAAATGAGGCAAGCTGAAAGCCAGCAACGTGTGGAGTCCTTATTAGAATACACTGGAATACTGTAAATTCATACTGGGAGATGCACTTCTAAAAATAAAATTATATAATGAGGGCTCAAAAAAGCTTCCCTTAAAGTCAACAGCACTATTCCCATAATTAAAATTAAGCACTTTTTAAATATTTTGTTTGAACAAGACTGATGAGATCATTTAGAACAGCACTTTTAGTATGACAGAAGAAAAAACAATAAACAGACAAGACAAACACAATGGAATTTTTTCCCCTTTTATTCCAATAAAGAGAGAGTTCTGCTCAATGTGAATGCTTCCTTTATATTCTTCAGAATTTAAATATTGCCACCTTGTGCTTGTGCAGGAACGAGGAGGTAAAACTGGCTAGTCTGTTTTCATTACGAAAACCAAAGAGAAAGAAAAAAATAGAAAATGTGAATAAACCTATGAAAATATAATTAGCTTGCTAACATTCTCCAAGTTTTAGGGTTTTGCTTGTTCATTTAACTCTAAGAGCATCATTGCCATATGGCAGAGAATAAAGCTTTGGGCTCTTACAACTGACCATACTGCATCACTGAAAGCCATCAATATCTTACACAGGCATCACCTCTAGACACAAACCCACAGATGTCAGGCTATAACATAATGAAAATATAGATCACATGCACTTGCAGACTCCAGTATACGTTGAGTTGGCTCTGTGCTTCAGGCTCTGCCTATCAACTCTGTCTTCCAGCATAACCAAGGCTGATACACCTTGCCTGCTGGACTAAAAAGAGCAAGAAGCTGGCAAGAGCACTGAAGTCTTCTCTACACAGAGAAGACTACATGCAGGCAGTTTTGGCTAGGCATAATTTATTAGCACCAGCTCAACCTTGGCCTTGCCAGGCTCTAGCTGGTCCCATGCGGAGCCAGGCGGGCACGCACACCCACTTCCCTGTCCTTCAGGTTCCAGGATGGCTTTTTAGTTGGCCCTGGCCCAAACTGGCCCTGACTTCACACGATGCTGCAGAGCCTGGTGTGGACATTAACTGACTCTGCTGGAACCAGTCTATAACCAGCTGAGTTAAGGCAATAAACTCTCTGGATCAGATGTAATGCCAGGGAAGGCATTAGTAGTTTGTTCTCCATGGAGGACATTACTGGGAAGGCTGGAACAGCACCTGGAGGTAGTACAGTCCCTTTCAGATGGCTCTGAGCATGAAACCCATTACGGTCAAGCTGGCCCTACAAGAGCCAATTCTGATGTGCCAGTCTTAGTGGCACAATTTGTCACTTCTATAACCTGCCTGTGAGTAATTCTCAACTGCTAGTATCACAAATACTACCTAATATAGTTTTTTCCCCCCTTCCTTACTAAAGTGCCAAAGGCACTTATTCTGTGCAGTTTAGGTGGAATGCAGTCAGCACACGTGGTAAGAGTGGTGGGTTGATATCCATTAAAACTATCATAACATGAAGCACACAAAAGGTGACGGGCTCTGAAGGCTTCAGCTGGACAGTTTCCCACATCACCAGAAGGGCAAGACAGCGAAGTTTTCCACCTACAACTGCACTCTGCTTCCCAGTATATCCCAGACTGGTATCAAGTTCTGTCACTTATTTAAAGGAAGATCCAAATAAACTTGAGAGCATCTTGCATATTAACAGAATATTTAAAGATTCTTTTGAAAGAGAAGAATTATAGATAAAATGGTGTTTAATCCAGCTAAATTGTAACAACCCTATGCTTAAAAATTAAGTTGAACTTCATTATCTATGCGTATATTTGGATAAGAAAGAATTAGTAGACATGTATTCAGAAGAAATACAGATACAGAACCCATGTCTGTATCATCCTGTACATATTCTTCAAAAAAACCCAAGATAGTGAATAGAGAAACCAGACTTCAAATCAGGCAATGAAGTCATGCACTATTAATAGATTTAATTTGTAGAATGTTAATAGTTAATAAGAAATCTAATAATATAGCAGCATATTAAACATCTTTGTGGCTGGTAGCATCTCATTTGTCTGGGGTCAAGTGATAATTTTTTTTAATTATCTGTGGACAGACTATGAAGCTTTTGGCATATAATGCATGCATCCTGTTAAGACATTTTAATTTTTATAACCTTTAAAAGTATATAAGAAGATAGCTGTCAGAGTATCATACAGCCTGCTTCTGATCATGTACAGTTACATGTCTAAAACTGTGACAAAATGACCATCTGATAGCAATTTTGTACACAGAAAATTAAAAGCTACGAGTGAAGAACTCAGACATCGCAAACATCTTTATATTGAACAGAGTGTGAAAAAAGTCTCCTAAGAAACAGATACAGGTTTGCCTGCCAAAAAAAAAAAAGTTTAGAGCAGGCACAGTCTTATCACTAGCATTCATTAAATTTTATTGTTAAAATTAAGCTCTGCCCTGAGAAACAGTCTTCTAAAATATTCTTTCAAACTATCACATCCTCTCATTTGAAATTAAAAGTTTATTTTCTCCTTCAGACACCTGCTGTCCTCTTCAAGTACTGTAACGTGACACTCGGCATGCAACTGAATTATTCTAATATAACATACACCAGATGTCATGACCACACTTCACTTTAACTTGAGAAAAATCAAAAAGAACAAAAGTGTGAACTCAATTCAAGGTGTAAAGAAAAATCTCAAATTCCATGGGAACATATGAGACCTAAAAAAGTGTCATTAAGTACTATTATTTCTATTGTTTTTAAGCATGACCCCTGGTAAACAGCAACTCTGGCTCAGTCAGCTCTTGCATCTGAAATTACAGCATACCATTTGCACTAATAATTTCCATGATCACTTCTGCAAGCTTATTTCCAAAGAGCCTCAATTGTATAGTAGCAAAGAAACAGTCACCGACTGTCAAATTACAGCTTAAAGTTATTCATCTTGTGCCATTTGAGCATTTGCCCTACAGCTTTTGACAAACATTCATGTTTTTTTCTCACTTCATCAGTCTCCTCAACTGAAATGGCAGGTGAAGTGCAAGTTAATTTAGAGCACAGTCCAACTGTTGTTTCAGACAAGAGAGGGAGCTGTGAGCTGAGAAGGAAGTTATATGTAGGGCACAGTGGGAACACTGCTAATAATGCAAAAGGTTAGTGAATGGCAGCTAATAATGTGAAAGGTCAGTGAATAGTGGTTTGATTCTTTTTTGCCATGTTTTGTTTATACTTTAGGTTAAAAAAATCATTTCTAACAGAACAAGCCTCAGATAGTTAACACACATTTATATTAATTAAATACTGTGTTACTGGCAAAACCTGCAACAATGACTCTGAAAAATTAAAGTCATATACACCTGGCAGCCAAGCTTAGACAAATTCTGCTACTTCAGCCCAAGCAACACCAATGAGACTGGTGTTCAGGAAGTCTTAAAGAGCAAGTGAAGAGCAAGGACGAATGCCCTTGTGGTTACAGTACAGGCTGCAGTTCAGGAAATCTGGTTTGAATTCCCAGCTCTCCAACAACTTCAGGCACTATCTCTTGCAAGGCATTTAACACCTGGGCACCCTGGGCATCTTCATTTGGGCAGGGAGGGGGAGAGGAAGGAGGAAAGCAAAGGAGAAAAGGAGTAGACAGCGCTTTCTCAGCTGGCTCATCTGTTATCAAGTAATACTTACTTTATTCCCATAACACACCACTACAGATCAGTATCAAATCACAAACACCGAATTGTAATTCTGGATTCGTCCCTACGTGTCACTGCTCCCTAAGCCCAGAAGGCATGCATTTGCAACTGTTTGTCCTGAAAAAGTAGATGGAAGTGTGCTTTTGGCACAGCTGGCCAAACAAGCAGGCCTTTTTAAGAGCATGTACGGTGAGTGACAAAGCAAATTAATTAGAACAGCAGGTATTGTGTAGCAGGTTTGATCCACAGTTTATAGTGAATTTGAGAAAAGCAATGAACTCTCCCATAAACTTCCTTGGGAGTAAGTTACTGCCCACTTTCTGAGTACTTGACTCCCACAGAAAAAAAAAAAAAAAAAAAAAAGTTTATTGGTCTTAAAACAAAACCCTCAAAGGAACATCCTGGAATTCAATCCACTCAGGCCAGTTCCTCCCTCATCCTGAAATCAGGCAGCATCTTAAAAGAAAACTCATGTCTATGTCCCAGCCACTTCCCACTTTGCAGATGGGTAACCACAACTCACCTACGGTCCTCAGATTTGGGGATGGGGTTGGTGCAGCGTTGGCTGTTATACTTGGCCACATATTCACATTGCTTGAAGGGGGCAGTCTTGTCCTCCAGAACGTGTCTGATACAGAAGGCGTAGCCGTTAAGTCGCCTCTGCTTGCACAGTTTGGGGCTATATGAGCACAAGGGCTTATTGTCAACCTCAGAGAAGTGTATGTGTTTGCCTTCATACATCACGTGACTCTATTCCTTGTGAACATCAGCTGAAAGAACCAAAATATTAAGACAAATCACATAAGGAAAAGAAAATGCATTCAGTTCTAGATTGTGTGTTTAATTTTGGCAGGAATGAGTGCCCTAAAACAATACCTGATTTTAAATCTTCTGTACCATATCAATGTTAAGAGAGAGCCCCAAGGACACCACTATCCTGGAATGATGATGAATCAAGATGAAGCAGATTGTCTAAGGAAAATATCAAAAAGGTCAAAGTCAGTCAGAATAAAATAGATATTATTAGTGCTTAATAAGTAAGCGGCCAGATATAGCCGCTAAAGTTGTGGTTCAGCTAGCATCCAATAAGCCAAATCCACTAGCACAATAGTTTTAAATCAGTAGTCACAGATCTTTGGAAACTGTGACAGAAAATTATTGGGGGGAAAAAAAATTCTACTGCCACCACACTTAAACCTGTTAAACAAAACTCCACTCATCTACCAGACAGTGATTAGGAGTTACAAGCTGAAAAAGGTTAAGCATCAGACTAGATCGCTTGCTTGCTTTCCGGAATCAAGCTGAATGATGATTAACCCATTTGACTGCAGAGGTTTTACTTCAAGTATCTTTGCTTGCAAAAACACTGGTGACTATCCTTGCTCTGCAAAATTTTAATTTCATCAGGCAGTCCAAGAAAGCTTTTTTTTTTTTTTTAAAAAGCTTTCTTTACCACACCTGACGAACAGTCTTCAGATCTTGCAGGTGCCCACAACTTTTGCAAGCATCGATATGCAGTCCTTCCTGAGGTCATCATGGTTCTTCAGAGCTTTTCCTACCTTATTATACTTATTTTATGTAAATATGGGCATTAATAACATCAGAGGCAGTCCTCCCATAGATGCCAGGAAGGCTTAAATGACATTTCAGCAAGAGGTTGGGGTTTTTTCCCCCTAAAATAGACTCCTACAGTGCAACAAAATAACAAATCCATGCAATTATAAGGTACTTTTTAATATTCTAAGACTATGGAGTCTTTGGCAATCATCTTTAAAAAAAAAAAAAAAAAACCAAAACACACCACCCCAGAGCAGCTTCAAATAAAATTAACAGTACACATACTCTGCAGCTACTCTGCTACACCCAGTTTAGCCTGTAAAAGGCAGCTTTTATTCAGAAAGGCCGTCCTGAAGCACTGGAATAAACTCTTTTGAACATGGTATATTCAGTACTCGGTTCAGTTTCATATGTGTTATATACCAGGCAAAGGAATGTACATAGAGGTAATATTCAGGAAATATGTAATAAATTAGAGGCATGTGACAAATGTACAGATCACCACCTCAATCAACTTACTTGTTCCCAAGGCCTGAAATGGCAAGAATACGATTGCAAGGAGGGAGCCTACACAGACTTTGCAGGAAAGATGCAGTTTCCTCTTGTGAAGGTACAAGCCTTCCCTTCCCACTGTATAAAAGAACCTTGAGAAAATGACAAGCACTGTAGCATTGGGGGATCTAGAAAAGCAACTTTAAGTTGCTAGGGCAAAACAAAACACCCTATCACACCTCTGACAGTAAACTGCATAAACCAGGCCTTTCATTAGCACGTATCTAGCTGTAGAAACAGGACAGAAGACTACTAAAAATTTAAAAACATACTTAAAATTCTTGAAACAGTCGCATATGCACTGTATGTGCAGTATCACAGCACACAGAATGGAGACATACGCTACAAAATGTAACTAGCACAAGTGCAAGTGACCTGATTAATCATTTAACAATAATAAGGATCATTTCGTATTTCCTCTTTACACACATAGTTCCCTTTCCATGCACACATGCAAGCACACACACCCAGGCGCAGGGGCCTTGCATTTTGTTTACGCCAGATAGCTACAACACAAGCACGGACATCTAATCCAGTTCCAATCACCTTTCCCAACTTCTCTCAATGCATGGAAGCACATGAAAGTAGAGCACACACTATATATATTTGAAACTAATCATTGGAGTATGACCCTTCACGACACATCAGTCCTAAGAACAAAAAAGTTCATTGTTGGCTGTGCCCTTCAAAAACACAGAATGGGAAGAGGGAACTATCTCTTCTTTAGCATGCTGAGAACCAGATAACCCTTTCAGATACCTTTGTTAAGACAGATACTGACATACACTTCAGTATTATCCAGCAACAACGTAAAAGAAAAAAAATAAAAAATCCCATGGTGACATGCCCAATACGGGAGCTGTGACTGGGGTTTGGGTCCCATATGTTTGACAGACAGCATCTTCCATTACTATGGCAGAAAAAGTAACCAAATTAGTCTGAACTAATTGCGTCTCATACACAGAACAAAGCTGACAGAAAGCCTTTTGCTCTGGAGTTTCCTTCTCTTGATAGTTAACCAAAGCTCTTATTTGGTGGCATACTAGACAGGATGAAAAACTTGAAAGAACAAGTGCATCTTGCAGTTGGGCAACTCACATGCTGCTCTCTATTTCTTTCTGTTTTATTTACCACCTTCTTTTAAGCTACTACTGTCATGCTTTGCAGAGTTTTTGATGGATCAATGACCTTCTCCTCTTTTGCACAACCCAGCAACATTTCTTTTCTGAAGGTTATCAAGCAACAGACCAAAGAAAAACAGTTCCTCAGAACAGTTCCAAAGTAAACAGCAAGAAATGCATACCTGGTGTGCCCCGCATTAAGCTTCTGTAAAGAAACTGCTCTGCAGTTCCCAGCCACTATAATCCTGCATTTATTCTTGTGCCCCCCCAGTCTTATTTTTGGATTTAACTCATAATTAAGTCTTATTTTTGCATTTAACTTGACTGGGTCAAGGCAGGCATAGTATTTCCCTTCTCACTTGTCTGAAAGATACAGGGCACAAGTACAATGCCATATGAAACATTTAAGCAAAAATACTGACAATAATCCTCAGGGAAATCAATGAGCTTGAACATGAATTTTTGGGTCTATATATACACTAAGAGAAGCTCATGCAAATATAAGCATGTTAAAAATCCTGACAGGAACCAATTAGTGCAACTACAGTAACGAACAAAAAGAAAGGTAATATACCTAGCAGCCAACGTTGTATTAAAACAACCCTACAGCAACTCTCTCAACCTTGCAATTTTATCTTTATTGGTAGATTCCTACACAGACTCCCCAGAAGACAGTGGTACTACGTGGTACACTGCCAGGATCAGAGACTGAAGTTGTACTTAATCTAAAAAGAGATTTTTCTTTTTACTTCCATAGCATACTATATATATATATATAAAAAAATA